GCCCCAGCCACAAAGCTCCTCTCCTTCTTCCAATTTGACTGGATGTCACTCAGAGTATACTGATGCAATGATGCTGCAGAGCAGGAAACATGTGAAGCAATTATCTTTTTAGTAGGTCACTGGCCTCCTTTGGGAGAAGAGACCAGAGGGAGATGGGAAGGCGGGCAGCTCAGCCACCCCCAGAGGCTGCGCGCGCAGTAGCTGAGCTGGTGATTAATAGCCGTGTCACTTTCCATGAATGTTGCTTTAAGCAGCCGTGTTCAAAATGGAGTGGGAATGAAATAAAACACCCCAAAATAGATATTTCCTCTCTTCCTGATGAGTTGCTACAATCCAGAAATAGCTTTTCAAATCTGTAATTTTAAATGGCACCATTCACAGCATCCTCAGGGCCGTGGCTTTATTTTCACATGGATGTTGTCGTGTGCACACGCACATGCATCACTTTTCGTTTTTAAAGAGCACCAAAGGTTTGAGCTCAGTGACTTTGAGGTTTTCTTGGCACTGAAATAAAAATTATGATTACAGAGAAAAATACAGCCTTTACATGTGTTTTTAAGGAAAAATAGTAACCCAGCGGAGGAAAAGGACAGGAAGAGGATTGTGCCCATATAGATCATACTGGAGCAGTAAAAACGTCTGGCAGGCAGTAATTGCTGGCCAGCTGCAGGGATTACAGTCCTGTGAGCTGTGTTCAGGGCAGCCCGCCAGGACGCTGGCAACCAGAAGTCGGGCCTGGACCATCATGACCCGCAGTGCCATTGCTAGGTCTGAGAGCATAAATAGGAGGGTGACCACACAGCGGCATGGCAGGGTTCCTGCACTGACCACACCCTCTCAGAGCACAGAGACTTGAGGCGCCTTCTCTCTGCTGCCTCTGAAGGAGCCAGGCTACCAGTTTGGAGGCTGATAGTGGCAGTCATAGGGGTGACCTCTGGCCGGGTCTCTGGGCAGGAGAAGGGTCACTTGACTTTAGTATCACTTTTGTCCTGCCAAAGAACATATCTGATGGGTGAGAAGCCAGCAGGAGCCCTCAGCCCAAAGCTTTGGGGACTGTCACTGTCTTGGGCCAGAGAGAGGGAGGGAGAGAGGGCGGGTGCTGTGCTTTCTCTCCCGCTCATGTCTTTCCTTCTGGTCCCTAGCAAAAAACAAAAATCAAAAACAGACAAAACAAAGCAGCGGTAGGGTGGGTTGTTGGGCATAAAAGCGGAGTGGATTCCTCATCTTATTTGCTTCTTCCATCCCTGTCCTAACTGCCCCTGGCTCCCATTTGGCACTCCAGTGTCTGACCGTTGGCCTTTTGTCGGGACATCTAGCAACTCGTGAACATTCCAAGGAGACCTGGAGGTGGGCGAGGAGTTGGGTGTGGAGCTGCTGGGGGATGGTGGGACATTTCACCTGCCTTCTCTTTCCCAAGAACGCACACTTGGCCAGCCTGGGGCATGTCAAGACGGAATAGGCTGGCCTCTTAGGTTTTATTATTGTTGGGGTCCGGTGAGGCCAACAGAGCAGGGGGTGACCGCCATTGAAAAGAAAGCTGTTAACTCACAGTTCCCAAGGGGAGGGGGGGGTGCTGTGCCACGCGGGCCATATGGGGAAGCAGCAGGGATGGTTAAGAGGCAGAGGGAGCAAGGGGGAAGCAGGGACAAGAACCTTTACTGTGGTTTCTGTGAGACGGAATGGGGGAGGCAGGGCAAGCAGGCTAAGCACGTTTAGGCTTGGCTAGTTTGAATAATCTCAGAAGGTTCTGGGGCATAGGGGCTGTCCCTAGTTGTCTGGTACCTGGCCTGGGGGGATAGCGGCCCAGAGTAAAAAAAGTCTGGTAAAGGAGGTGGCTAGGGGTGTGGGCTTTGAACTGGTTAGTTTGCATATGAAAGATGGAAACACTACTCAAGCAGAGTAGTCCTTTGTTCTCCTTAGGCACTGGCCCGCCCAAGGGCCAGTCAGCAGGGCCCCAGATGGCAGTGCAAGAAGACATGTGGTCAGTACAGGTGTCCCTCACACCAGCCTGAAAGGGAGAAGCGTTCCCAGGGGGGCAGGAATAACAGGGGAAGTGCCCAGGGCATCCTGAGGAGAAGTAGCTTCCTGCTTTGATTGGTCTGGTTTGGGTTTCGAAGGGGGCATGTCACGAATAGGAGAACGGGTCCGTGGGAGGAGAGGGCATTCGGCTAAGCCACCAGAAATATGACGTGTGGCAGCCGAATGAGATTGGCGGAGAGCCCTGCCTGGACAGAGGCCCAGGATGGGAAGTGTCTGAAGGGGCTTAGCAGGAAAACCAGTTGGGACACTCAAGCAAGGCCAAAGTGGTCTGTTGAATGCCAAGCCGAAGCATTTGGATTCCGTGCTGTGTGAGCTGTCCAGAGCTGTTCTCTTTTGCCCTCTAGTTCTGTTAATGAATTCATAGCCGCAGAGAATGCCTACGCTTGGCCGTATATCATAATCTCAGAACTTAATTAACAAGTAAGGATGCTGATGTAAATGTATTCTGGATGAAAAAAAGAAATCCCCCGCGGCAGGGGTTGAAAACTCAGTGCCTCCCAGGCCTGCAGTGAGCGGAAAGGACCCTGGGGACCATGGGGAACAGCCATGCCCCAGACAGAGAAGTCAGCAGCTTCTGAGCTCCAGTGAAACAGATCACGGGAACGGGGTCCAGAATTGCCAGATCTTCCTAGTTTTCAAGGAAAGCTGGAAATTCAGAGTCTTGTGTAATGTCCCGAGTTTTGTGACATTGCCTGGCAAGTCTGTGGCAGCTCATTAGTGACACTCTTTACTCCCACAGAGCACAAAGAAAGGCACGGCGAGGCCTGCCACATGGGCTCCTGGTGGCCTCTTTCTGCTCTGCACCTGTCACCCTAATTTTACCGTGAGGGTCAAAGAGGAAATGGGATGGTTATAAGGTATGGCCTAACCTGGGAAACTGAGGCACACCAGGTCAGGGGTCGGATCTGTCATCTGAAGACCTTCCCTGAGGTCTTGAGTCAGCCACTCTGTGGTGCTTCGTCTGCATTTCCTCACTGGCAAAATCCATTCATTCTTTCATTCATTCTTGCTGTGTGGGAGGCCAAGACAAACGCTTCACACACAAAAACAGAGGTTTTGATGGGATGCTGTCCAAAGTGGTATTGCTACTGAAATTATTTTATAGCAAAACAAAAGCTAAAAGGTGCTGCGATCAGTGGCTTCTTTTCCTGGCTGTGCGGAGAAGTTCCCTGCAGAGATGTTCTAGGAGCACATAAGGACGACGGGTGATTGACAGGGCAGGGGAGAGGGGTACAGGGTTGGGGTCGTGGAGGTCTGCACAAGGCTGTCCTGCCCACGTCGCTTGGTCTTGTTCTCTCCGTGTCCAGGGCTGGGGGCTCAGCAGCTGGGCCGGGCCTCCTTGACCCTGGTAGACGCCCAGCACCTTAGGGGATGCCTGCACAGAGCAGGCACGCGGATGGCCCCCAGTGTCGTGTGGCAGTGTCTACCCTCAGCAGACAAACGTTTTAGCCACAGTGACCGTAGAGAAAAGATACAGTATAATCATAGCACTTAAAAATGGAAATTGAGAGAGTGGGGACAAATGGAATTTAAAATGCCCCGACATTATGATGACACCATTATTGGATCTGTGATTTCCTTGCTGGTTTTGCAGTGATCCAGCAAAAGCTGAGACGTTTCCCTGCAGGCTGTCTGGCCTCGTTTGGCACCAGGGCCTGCAGGCGTTGGGGTCCGCCGGTGTGGACGGAGGGCAGAGTTGGGTAGCGATCCTTGGACAAGCAGCTGCGGGGTGGTTAGGCCGTGCCCGGGGAGGTCTGTGCGCCTAGAAAACAAGCCTGTGCTCACAGTACTTAAGAGCGGTTCTCCCCGTGCGAGTGTCTGGTCGCCCTTACCACCCCCCCACCCACACAACAGGAACAGGTTATGAATTCTAGACCACCATATGCACTACACGATCATGGTGGTCTTTTAAGAACAAACAAAGGCAACAGGAAAGCATCAGATTATGTTTAAGAAAGTCTATCGAGTGTAAAAATTTTTAAAAACTCCCGTTTCCCTTCTCTCCTTGTGACTGATAGATACCCTCACCTCACCGGTGTCTGAAGCACGAGTTTTGCTCTGCCGGTTTGATAATATAGCATTACGTGCGCGCGCGCGTGTGTGTGTGTGTGTGTGTGTGTGTGTGTGTGTGTGTGTATGCATGTGCACGTGCGTGAGGTGTCCTTTCAAAAATCAGCGTGAAGATCAGAGATGTTCAGAGGGGAGGCTGCCGAACCCAGAGCTCTAGAGCCATCACAGGGCTGGGGAGGGAGGTGACTTCCGACAGGCCAGGCTTTTTGCAGTCTGCGGCGGAGGGATTCTGTAGGATTAGACCCTGGGTGTTGCCTGTGGGGATAATCCACACCCCACCCCCCCCTCACGAACTGCTCTAAGGAAGGCCTCGATTCGCCGGGACACCACCGCCTTAGAGCAGCAGCTGTTCATAAAGCACAGTACTTCCAGCGGGTTGTGAACACCTTTCTGTGTGGAACTGCAGGGGGATTTAGGTGGGCTGAAAGTAATGACCTGCCTGTGAATCTGACGGGAGCAGCGGGGTTAGAGTTGCCTCCTTGTTGAGAATGTCCTTTTGAAATACATTCTAGGATATTGCTCCCGTCCTATTAATTATGTCACAAACTTAGCAAAGCTGAATAATTAATGATCGCGGGGCACCCGGAACTATAAAATGCCATGTAAATGTTAAGGAGTAAAAATTACTTTGTGTATTAATTAAACAGAGAGTCTGCTTTAAAAATAGTCCATGGTGGGAAGATTAATTTCCAGAAGAGCCAAAAAGCTTTTCTGTTGGACTATCCTAAGAAACTTTTGATATCTAATTATCTCAACCACAGTTCAGGAGACCCGGGCATTCTGTATTCTGAAGTGTTTTAAAGGCAAATGGCTGCTTAGCACTTTTAGCTCTGGAAATGAAGTTGCCTATTGAATTTTGATAAAATTTGTGCCTGCTTGATTCTCTCTAGCCAGAGGCAGTTTGGGCCTAAAGCCAAGAAAGAAGTCAAGATCATTGAGCACCAAACACAGACCCTTCCGCTGATGCCTCACCTGGCCACAGCCTTGGCCTTGACCTTCGCCAGCAGGTGAGATGGCTCTCAGGGTTTGCTCTGTAAAAATGAGTGTGAGGTCCTGCCTGGCATTAGTAAGGAGTGAGGGGAGAGGCAGGTGGGGACTTCATTTTCTAAGTGGGGACAGGAAAGTCTGTGACTAAAATCTGATGTTCAGGTTAAAAGTGATGTCTGAATCTTGATTGTCTGTATATCTGGGTGGATGGGATCCACAGAGGATTTGAAAAACCTTGAACCAACGTTTCTCCATATTTTCTAAAAGAAACAGACTTGGCTGTTAAAATTTCTCTACCTCTGATAAAGGTTCTAATTTAAATTTTTCAAAAATAGGTCAAGGTTGTGTGCACATGTAGGATTGGGGAGGGGGGTCGGAGTCAGGCTACTGAATAAAATAACGGTGATAGTCCTGTAAGTTCACACGGAACTTTGCATTTTATAGCAGGCTTCCATCTATGCCTCTCAGCTATTCCTCCGCAAAGCCCTGGAATGTTGCCTGGGCAGTTGTGTGTTATCACCACCTTCAGAAGGTCAGAAAATTGGGGATTTGCCTAAGATCACAGGGCCTGGGAGCAGATGCGCTGGGAATATAACTCCACACTTTGGACCTTTATCCTGTGTTCTTTCCTCCCTATGCAATCCTGCTTCTTAGGGAATTAATTTCTGAGTAATTTAGAATCGGTGTGTGTTTGAAATTTACTGCACCAATGGGTAGGCTGGTGCCAGGCTTTACAAAAGGAGGGTAATCGGGAGGGCCCTGCCAGTCTGGTGTGCAGCTAGCTTGTGGGGCTGCCTGGCTGGGAGGGGCATGAGCGGGCACACCTCTGCTCTTACTGTACTCAAGCCTGGCATTCCACGGTTCTCAAACAGCAAATCCTACAGACTGAGCTTCAGGTACCACTAAGATCGATCAATCCAAGCCACCCAGAAGAAAATAAATGTAAATCACTCACACCCAACATCTTACTTAAAATATTTTTGAGTGGTTTTGAGATTTAATTTGCACATGGTAAAATGCACAGATTTTAGGGTATAGTTCAATGACAAGCATATACCCTTGTGTAATGAATGCTCAAACCAAATATGAAACATTTCCCTCTTTGGGGCACCTGGGTGGCTCGCTCAATCAGTTAAGCATCCAGCTTCACTCAGGTCATGATCTCACAGCTGGTGGGTTCGAGTCCCACGTCAGGCTCTGTGCTGACAGCTCAGCCTGGAGCCTGCTTCGCATTACGTGTCTCCCTCGCTCTCTGCCTCTCCCCCACTCACTTTCTGTCTCTGTCTCTGTCTCTCTCTCAAAAATAAATAAACATTAACGTTTTTTTAAATTAAAAAATTTAAAAAAAAATTTCCCTCTTTGCAGTTGGCCCTCACCTCGAGAGACAACCACCTTTCTGAGTTCCACTCCCAGAGCTTAATTTTGTCAGTTCTTAAGCTTCCTGTAAATGGAAACATACAGTATATATTTTTTGCGTGTGTCCAGTTTATTTCATTCAACACAATGTCTTAATGTTCCTCAATGTTGTTGATAGTTTATTAATTTTTAGTGCTGAGTAGTAACATTAAATAAATAAACCACAATTTTTTAATACATTCTCCCAGGGCTGGACATTTGGGTTGTGTCTAATCTTTTAGCTACTGTGAATAAGACACCAGTGAATATTCTCATCCAAGGTTTTCATTTTTCTTAGGGTATTTACTTGCAGGGTAATTGCATATGTGTATGTCTAAATTTATAGAAACTGCCATTTTTTCAGAGAGGTAGTACCATTTTATATTCATTTCAGCAATGCATGAGAGTCCTGGTTACTCTATTCTGAGATAAAAACTGGTGTCTCAAAACTGTTGCAAAAAAAAAAATCAGGTTGTATGAGTCATCTAAGTCTCTTCTTTTTCAAAATTTTCTGGGCTGTTTTGACTTGTCTGGGCACTTTGTATTTCTGTATACAATTTTGGATCTGCTTACCAGGTTTTTAGTTTTTGTTTTTTTGAACACAAAGCCTGATTGGATTTATTTGAGATTGCATGGAATCTATTTTTTTTTTTATTAAATATAATTTGTCAAATTGGTTTCCATACAAGACCCAGTGCTCATCCCAACAGGTGTCCTCCTCAATGCCCATCACCCACTTTCCCCTCCCTCCCACCCCCCATCAATCCTCAGTGTGTTCTCAGTATTTAAGAATCTCTTATGGTTTGCCTCCCTCCCTCTCTGTAACTTTTTTTTTGCCCCCCTCCCCCATGGTCTTCTGTTAAATTTCTCAGGATCCACATATGAGTGAAAACATATGGTACCTGTCTTTCTCTGACTGACTTATTTCACTTAGCATAATACCCTCCAGTTCCATCTATGTTGCTACAAATGGACAGATTCCATTCTTTCTCATCGCCAAGTAGTATCCCATTGTATATATAAACCACATCTTCTCTATCCATTCGTCAGTTGATGGACATTTAAGCTTTTTCCATAATTTGGCTATTATTGAAAGTGCTGCTATAAACATTGGGGTACATATGCCCCTTGCATGGAATCTATTAAGCAATTTGGGCAGTACTGGGTCTTTCAAATCTAAGAAGATGGTTTATCTCTCTTTATATAGGAATTTAATTTTTCTTAATGTTTTATAATTTACAGTGTAGAGGTCTTTCACATTTTTTACTAAATTTATTCAAATAGAATTGCTTTTAAAATTTAATTACCAGGGGCGCCTGGGTGGCGCAGTCGGTTAAGCGTCCGACTTCAGCCAGGTCACGATCTCACGGTCCGTGAGTTCGAGCCCCGCGTCGGGCTCTGGGCTGACAGCTCAGAGCCTGGAGCCTGTTTCCGATTCTGTGTCTCCCTCTCTCTCTGCCCCTCCCCCATTCATGCTCTGTCTCTCTCTGTCCCAAAAATAAATAAACGTTGAAAAAAAAAATTTTTTTTTAAAAAAATAAAATTTAATTACCAAATGTTTCTTAATGTCATGTAGAAATATAATTGAATTTTTTATATTAACCTCTTATATTCTCACTGAATTCACTTAGTAGATTTAGTAGTTTCATTATAGACTCCTTAGGATTTTCTATATATATCATCATGTCACATGTACATGAAGAGAGTTTTATTTCTTCCTTGCCAACATTTATGCCTTTTAAAAATTCTTTTTCTTGTCTTATTGGACTGGCGAAAACCTACAGTAAAATAGTGAATAACAACGGTGAGAGTGGACATTCTTATTTTGTTCCTGATTTTGGAAGAAAAGTATTCCATATTTCCCTATTAAGTGTGAACATTCACTGAAGGGTTTTTGTGGGGTGCCTTTTATTAGACTGAGGAAGTTCCTTTCTACTCCTAGTTGGCTGGATATTTTTATCATGAATATTGGGTTTTGACTTAATTTTTCTATTTAGCTGATCATATGAGATTTCTTCATTCTATTAATGAAGTGAGTTACATTGATTACTTTTCAAAAAAAATTTTTTTTTTCAACGTTTATTTATTTTTGGGACAGAGGGAGACAGAGCATGAACGGGGGAGGGGCAGAGAGAGAGGGAGACACAGAATCGGAAACAGGCTCCAGGCTCTGAGCCATCAGCCCAGAGCCTGACACGGGGCTCGAACTCACGGACCGCGAGATCGTGACCTGGCTGAAGTCGGACGCTTAACCGACTGCGCCACCCAGGCACCCCTGATTACTTTTCAAATATTGAGCTGGATTTGCATTCTTTAATTGGTCATAATGTACTATAATATTTTTATATTATTGGATTCAAATTGGTCATGTTTGGATAAGGATTTTTGTGTTTATATCTGTGAAGAATATACTTTTCTTTCCTTTGAAATGTCCTTGTTAGGTTTTGGTATAAGGGTTATGCTGTCCTCATAACATGAATAAGAAAGTGGTCCCTTCTCCTATATTTTCTCACGGAATTTTTATAAGATTGGTATTATTTCTTCCTTAAATTTGATAGTATTTACTAAGAAGCCATCTGGGCATTTTTTTTAATACAAAGATTTTTGATTACTCTATTAATTTCTTCAACAAATATGAATCTTAAGATTACCAAGTTCTTAGGGGCGCCTGCATGGCTCAGTTGGTTAAGCATCCAAAGCTTGATTTAAGTTCAGGTCATGATATCACGGTTTGTGAGTTTGAGCCCCACATTGGGCTCTGTGTTGGCAGCATGGAGTCTGCTTGGGATTCTCTCTCTTTCTCTCCCTCTCTGCTCCTCCCTGCGTGCTCTCTCTCTCTTTCTCTGAAAGTAAATAAATTAATTAAAAAAAAAAAAAGATTACCAAGTTCTTCTGTGTTAGTTTTGTTACTTTGTGTATTTCAAGGAGTTTGTCCTTTTCTGCTAATTTGTAAACTTCGTCAATAATATTTTCTTATTATAATATTAATGTCTATAGGATCTGTAGTGATGACCTTATTCCTAATATAATTTTTGGCTTTTTGAGGGGGGTCAATTTTGCCAGCCATTTATCAGTTTTGTTAATCTTTTCAAATAATATACTTTTGTCTTGAATGCTTTTGTTATATTTTTATGCATTTTTTGTTATTGATTTAATTTCTTGTCTTTATTATGTTCTCATTTCTATTTAGTTGGGAATTAATTTGCTCTTTTTTTCTAGCTTGTTGCTCTAAAACCTTTCTGTATAAAATAAAAGTGTATTGTTAACAAAATTTCTGCTAATTTTATTTTGTGTATTTTTAAGCTTTGGTTTTTAGCACATACAGATTTTGGGGTTATTATTTCTTCTAGAGGAAGTTAGCCTGTTATATTCATTAATATTTCTCTTCATTTCTGGTAATTTTTCTTGTCTTGAAGTCTACTTTCTTTGGTATTGATACAACCATACTGGTTTTTTATGCTTAGTGTTTATCTAAGCATATGCTTAGTGGTATATCTCTGTATATCTAAGCATATATGATATGCTTTTATTTTATTTTATTTTATTTTATTTTAAAACCTTTTATTTTAACCTGTCATTGTATCAACCTATGTGGGTCACGGTAAGATTTTTATAAATAGCGCAT